AATACATCTGTAATAACTCTACATGCCATTAAATTTTTATCTCTAAGATGGTCGCAGTGGTAGTTCCAATCTGAAGTCAAATAACACATCAGAGTCACACCCAGAGAAGGTCAGTAATTACATCACCGACAATAATCCAGCAAGACACGCCCACACACATTTAACACACGATCTAATGAGATGATTAATTAGCTCGTTCCTGTTAGAAGTTTATGGGATGTTTTATGTTTTACACTAATGCTCGTAACTCTTTTCAGCTGTTCCTGTGTCTTGCGGTTCTTAATCCTGACAGTATCCAAAGGGGAGGCCTGTGTCCTCGTTTCCAGACCACGCTCATAAATAAGCATTAGCCTTGCAATCTCTGGGAGCCCCTGACGAGAAAAGTAGATGGTTACTTAATGAGTGTGTTACGACAATAAATATTAGTGCTGTTTTGCAAAAGGGAGAAATCATGAAGGCTGTTGAAGTCTGTGCTCATCAGAAGTTGAAAGAATGGAACATAATAAATATTCTCTTTTAAAAAGATGTGCTGTGGGCTGGGGCTAAGCCCGGGTTTGAAATCTGGAACTGGAGCCAATACTCGTACAGCCAGCGAGCTCCAAAGTGTTCACACTGGGCTGACACTTTAGGCTCAATAGCTTTCCAACCACTTCCCCAGCACGAAACCCTGGCAGACCTGCAGTGTAATCTCCTCTAAACGCTTTTATTAAGACTTCTAATTGGAGATCGGGCTTTCTCCCTTCAGGAGAACAGGCAGAAGAACAAAAACAGGGCTTATTCACCCCAAAACAGGCTGCAGGCGAATGGCAAAGCAGAGGCACAAGTCACTTTGGTACACAGCAGTTATACTGTGCCGCTCATTGAACACACTCCTCTGATTCATGGCATAAATCTGACTGAAAGAAACGCCACTTATTACAGGCATTCAGGAAAACAGCCCAGTCACATCCCGGTAAAGCAGCAGGAATTGTAACTGGCAGAAGCAAAATTCAATATATTATTTCTCATGACAGGAACAGCTCTATGACAATGCAACATTTTCGTAATATTTCATACCCACACATCTGACTGGAACAATAAAAGCTTAAGAAGCAATCTCATCTAAGCCTTAAGGAAACCTTTCATTTCATGTGATCACAATGGAGTCAGTCATTTCCTCGGTTATTTTCTCAGTCAGACAGCAGCATTATTTTTTTTTTTTTTTTTACACATTAAAGGGTCTGTATTAATGCATTGGCATCGCCCAGGCACTCCAAAATAAGAGACTGCACTACTTAAAAGATAATGAGGAAACAATCTTGGCAGGTGCGATTGATCCCACTGTTTTATAGCGCAGGGATTATCAAAGGATTATCTAACAATAATTATGCACCCAAGGTCGACGCACCGCTTTCATGTTGGCGCTGTGAGTGGCAGCGAGGTGTGTGTGCAATAGAAAAACAAGACGGTGAGAGGAGGTAACGGTGTGTGTGTGTGTAAAGGTGCCTGTTGATGTGTGTGCATATGTGCGTGCGTAACAGGGGAAATTAAGCTCGCTATGAACTCCATCACAAATTGCAAAATATCACACACCAAATAACCACCAAATATAACTTATCAGTACCGAACACACACCAGCAAAATTAAAGTCTAAATGAAACGGAAATCTGGGATGAGGAGCCTCCCAATCGTGGCGTGTCCGAGGTCACACCCCTTAGTGGAGCGATGTAAGTAATGCATGGTGACATTACCATGCATTACCACACATTTGCTGCACATTGATTGACCCCCGACTGCAGATTACAGATCAAGACCACCATTCATGTCCCATTACATGTGTTATCGCTTTGTCTTTCTAACCAATTCATCTCACCATGATTGCACAGCCTACAGGAACTGAGAAAGCACGAAACGTTCCGCTGACTGTACTAAATGTGCAGAAGTACACTTCTGCACATCTATTTCATGAGACGGTGCGTGAGAGAGGGATGAGTGGATCAAAAGTTAGAAATAAACTCCTGCACACTGTCATTCAGACATTTCAGTGCATTCATCAGGCAAATCTTACCTGAAGATCTAGCACGGAAATGCTGCAGGTGTAAACGTCACAAATAAATGTATTATAGCAACTTTTGATCCAACTGTACTAAATGTGCCATGCAGCAATCTTCTAAAAGTCAGGCTCTCTTTTGTTGCCTGTGAAGCTGTCACAGGTGTCTTTTTTTAATCAAATCTGACAGGAAGAGGGCTGATCTGAAACAATAACTATTAAAATAAATGTTTGGCGTCAGATTTTGCCCTTTGATTATTCTTACCTTTGACTGAATATGTTTTATTATCTAAGCACCTACATACAATGGGGCAACAGAGTGTGTAAACGACAACAGCTGAGCGGCTGCTGTAACACTGCTCAGTTCCTATGAGACTACTCAACATGCCATGATTGAAACTAAAATGATGCAGCTCAGTAGACAAGGTGGACTGATATGTTGTGTTATTGACATGCTGTACACATGTATACAAACATGAGTCGGAACAGTGGTGGAAGCAGCCAATTAGATGGGAGGAAGATGGATGTTTAGTCTCGGATTAGTTGGACTGATGGGAGTCAGCTTTGGTTCACAGGAATCCAATTGAACAGTCAATGAAAAACAGTGATGTTGGTGCTGTAATACAATTGTCAGCAGTAACTTGAAATGACAGTAGAAGACAGTTGTTCTTGAACACAGCCTGGGACAGATCACTGGTATTTAGTCAGGCAGTGAACAAAGAAGCTATACAAGCATTCTTAACCTATGGAGTCCAGGAAGAGGGTTTAAAAGGTCGGCTCACCCAAATTCACACAGAACCAACTTTTCTTTTTTAAATCTGGCAGACACTTTAGCTTCTATCTGGTTATGTCCTTTGAGGCTTACACTGAGAGTGAACTCAGTTTTGTTTGTGCTTCTAACGTATTACAGTTTTTCTCAGTCGCTTTGGTGCATTTCTCAGATCAGAATTGAAATTCTCAAAACTAATTGTTCAACCTCCACATCATCTCGTCCCTTGTGCACATCATAAAAGCACTTTCTCATTGTTTTGAACAAATTGCGAATGACTTGACACACTGATGCAAATGATTATGTACAATTGTCTGCTGTTTCCTACATTATCAATTGCTTATGTCATGCTGATCACAATGAATTATACCAGTCTCTGTTGAATAATCTTACCCCCCAAAACATCTAGGCATAAGTTCACTGCATTAGTCACTACATGCAAAATGGTTGAACACATTATCAAAAATCAAAGTTAAAATACTTTATTCATATCCTTTGCCTACAAGTATATACTGTAGCTAAACGAAATGTTATTTCTTAAGGACCATAAACAAAGTAAGAATAGACCACAACAACACTCATACCAATACTCAATATCAGTAAATAGTAACAATAACAATACATAGTGAGCAGTAATATGTATATATATATATATATATATATATATATATATATATATATATATATATATATATATATATATATATATATATATAAAATAAAACAAATGTTGTTTTCCCCTGAGAACGGGATAATTCATTTTCTCGTGATCACGAGATAACAAACCATAGCTGAATACAGGGGCTGGCAGGTGCGTTTCTTTAGGATAATTTCAAAGCAATTACCAGTGTCACTGGTTAGTTCAGATGGTAGAGCACAGGGCTCGTCAGGAAATGTGTAATGTTACATGGATTCCCCTGAATGAGAAAGAATTTCCTCTGCCTGGGAATGATGGGGAAATGAAAAGTCCATAGGTTGATGGATGTGGACCAAATGCCGTAACGCACGTCCAGCACGTGCTTCACAGTAATGTGAGCATGTGAAACAGTCTTTTCATAAGAACTTTGTTGAAGAGGATTATGAAAAATATTAAAAAGAAAAATTTTGTCTTTAGTGAAATATATATATAAAAATATATATTTATATATATACACATATATATATATATACACAGGTGCTGGTCATATAATTAGAATATCATCAAAAAGTTGATTTATTGCATTTTGTGCATTTTCATCTGAGTACACTGTTATATTGACAAGATGGCTAAACATTTTGACTTGCTTGTTCATAAACAAGACACAAGGACTTCTTGTTCTGATGGCAATGACAAGTTTAATGACATAAAGATTTGCTTTTGAGAGATTTTGAGCAAGTTATGGGCTTTTGCAGGTAATCCACTGTGTTGTGCCGTTTGTATTACCTGTTCGAGAAATGCACTTACTATTTTGCAAATGTTAAGGATGATTCGAGAAATGTACCAAAGCGACTGAGAAAAACTGTAAAAAAAATGACTTGAAAAACCAGACAAAAACAAGGCCTTCCCCCAAAAATTGTCCTGGAAAGTCTGCATAATCCACAGACCTGACCTTATTTCATTGGGAAAAAATCTCTGACATAGGTAGGAAGTGGTAAAAACATTTTTAAATAGCATTAAAATTACATAATTTGAATGCCGTAAACACCACAGGAAAAAAAACTTTTTCTTGGGGTGCAGAATTCTCAGCAGCAGATGTGTGAAAGCCTTGGGCTGATAAAAACCAAAAGGTATCTGCATTGCTTTATACCACAAGAGACTGGAAGAAATGTGTGCTGCTAAGATTTGGGTGAACTCACCATTTAAAGAGAAATTCACTTTTCTTACAGTCTAGTCTAAGAACAACCACATAAGTTATCAGACAGGTTTCCAACTTTAATTATACTATATACACCTTTTACCTAGAGACAGATACCAAGCTGAACATTAAAGTTATTTTTACACTTGTCAGTGCTCTTTAGATAGTGGATAGTAATTTTCTTGTCAACTTTGAACTACTGTACTTAACATAGTTGTAAAAGCCACACTTGTTTTTTGTTAATAGACATTTTCAATTTCTGAATAAAGTATACAATGTCTATATGTATGTTTGTGTCAAAAGTGTTGGGGGGGGGGGGGGGGGGGGGTGTAGATGCACTAGTGACACAAAGGGGTGTGAGGCTCACCAGTTGTGGAAGAGATGTTGACGTCAATGCTGATCTCAGGGATGCCTCCTCCCTTCAGCGCTGCCACACAGGTGTACGTTCCGAAGTCGGTAAACTTGAGGTCTATGATGTCCAGGTTGGTGGTCCCAGGGGAGATGTCGGGGTCCGTCTGGGTGATGACCATACGCTCTGAGCTCCGCAGGGCACGGCCGTTCTTTAGCCAACTGAAAGTCAGCTCCTCTGGTGGGGTCGCCTCCACCTAGGGGATTCAGCACATTGTTGTTATTTGTGTTATACTGACGAGTAGCTTCCTATAACTTTTAGCTATTATATGCATACGCATGTGTGTGTTTCTCTGCAGTGTTTTTCCTTAACGATACCTGACAAGATATCTTGACTTCACGTCCAATCTGGATGTTGTCGTCATTGTGGTAGGGGTCAGGAGTGATCCAGAAGCGCCCCTTTTTCAAAGCTGTGAAGAGATAATCCATTTGGTTAGAACTAAAATTACATTTGTACACTGCATTTGTTCCTTCTGAAAATCTGGAACAAACCCTCAGGTATTTACTGTAGGTTATGGGTCTTCTTGTCATATTGATGTGATTTCCGAGATATAATCCCAAAGACAGGATTTTATGGATTTTTTAAATTGATTTTTTCCAGCGTTTTTACTTTTCTCATTGTCCACACTTGGGCTGTAAAACGTTGTTATGTATCTCCAGTGAATATATTGTAAATCTGACTTTGTTACTTGTACCTGCTCAGCCTTTGTACACATTGTTCAAATGCACAGAAAGACTAGATTGTGTCAGCTGGCTGATATAACTGATCTGCGCAAAGCATTGTGAGCAAACCATATTTCTTACTCATCTAGATGTGTCACTTCAGCACTGGGGTTGTGAAATCAGTGCTGTTAAAGCAGAAGTGACAACTTCATGGATATGGAGACATGGATATGACAACTTTATAACTGTTCTTCTAAAACAATAACTTAAAGTTTAGCTTTTGATGGCGCAGAAGGTTCAAACAGAGGACTTAACAGATAAAGCAGAATCATATGTTTGTTTTGAAGACTAAAGCTTTGAACCAACATTAATATTGATAACTACGGACTGAAGAATCCTACAGCATTCAAGCCGGTTCACACACACAAACCCACACGCAAACACACACACACACTGTGAAATTGGAGAGATACCTAACAAAATATCCACCATTTCTAATCCAATTTGGTTTGCAAACTCCATTTTCAAAGCATAGCTTCTCTGAACAGGAAAAAAAAAATTATTTCATTATAATGCATGCTGTATTGGTTCCAAACCCCTGCGCCTACTGTTCAATTCATCTCCTAAGCAAAAAAAGCTGACGGCACCATGGAAATCTTTTCATCTACCAATTCCCAACTGACATTATCATATTCAGTTTGGTAAAGGGAAAACGAAAACAAAACCTGCGTGTCAGATTTAAACACAGGAAATTGAATGTGCAAAACACTGTGATGCCTGCCGAGCTGCAGATTGAGGGGAGAGACGAGTGACACACGCCTCCTTGACATGATCTTCCTCCTCGCGTTTGAAATTCGTGTCGGCAGGCAGTGAATCCTATTTCTGACGCGTGTCAGATACAAATATTACAATCATGTCAACACCACTGTGCATTTGCATTCATTCTTGTTTCCTATATACACTTATTCTGCAAGGCACTGCCTATCAGTCATGTTGTATATAATTCAATAGAACTAGCATGGAAACTGTAGCACTTAGCATAATAGCAGCATATATCTGTGACCTTTATGGATATGAAAATAATACAAGGCATTACCTGCAACCCACGTTCATTCCCATTTGGGCTCAGCTCTGCATCATAGTGTATATCTACTACACTACATATACGTCAAGAATAAATTTCCTTAGAGCCAACATACATAACATAAGGTTAATGAAACAATACTAAGTCCATTATGGAAGCCATTATGTGAGCTTATCTGTGAGGAAACACAGATATCCTTCAATCATATATGTCAACCAGTGACAACAGACGGAGCTGTAGTTACAGCTTGACAGTTTGAAAAGGCTTTTGTGTCTTAGCGACATCCTCAGCAGAGTTGGTAGCTGCTTCTTAAGAAAGTATTATCTCATACACACACACACTCACACACACACACACACACACATACACACAGACACACCTTTCATTGTGCTGTCACAGGTGACAGTGGATAAACATTTGGATTAACTGCTTTCCTCTTTTTACATTCCTCCAGCTCAAGTATATTCTGTCTCAACTTAAGAAACTGTAACACAACGAGGCACTTAACAATCCCCCACCTCTACTTTGCTGTAAGCCAGGTATAATCTTGTTCATGAAGTTGTCCGTCAGACTCACAAACACAAATCATTCTCCACAGTTTGTTTGTAGTAATTTGTTTCTGCGGTAAATGTTGTGGACAGCCACACATGGAGTGTAAACTGGCCAAGCAAATAATTGTCAATGTTTTAGAAAGAAACGGTTGACAACTGACAACACGAACTGTGTATGGCTTATGTGATGCATCATTACAAAATCCCATTTTATAGAGGGCTTGCTTTCAAGGGTTCAAGGCAACTACTCTTTATACTGTACGGATGATTGGTTGGCCGACTTTGAGAAGAAATTGGTCAGAAGATTCAATCAACCTCCAGGTATTTAGCTGTAGAGCCTCAGGTAAGAAGAACTGAGACAAGATACAAGACATGCTGTGGCCGAACCAATCTGATTGGCACGTAATGCTTTGCTTTGTTGCTGACAGTTTTAATTTAGTTTAGTTTCATACATTTTATTCACCTAAGTTGGATTTACAATCAACTCATACGTTCGGAGTGACATTTTTTTATAATCTCAACAGAATATTTTTTCCTCGTTTGCATAATGTGATTAACCCCCTACAGTGCTCATGCAAAGGGTAAAATATTGCATGCATTTGCTCATTAGGGAGGTCACTGCTCCAAGGATTCCCTGCATGAATTTTGAATTTACTTCAGAGCTACATATTATATTAACCTGTATTGTTTGTAACAACACACCAGTGTTATCAGCAGAAAACACAAGTTTGGGCTGCTGAACAAAATTGAACCTTTTTGGCCAAACACAATTCTGCTTCTGTGTAGATACACTTAACTGACCACAGGATGTGATGAATCCAATTTCACTCTAAAGTGCCCAGGGCCCTTAGAATCCTACTACAATACAATGTGGCCCACCTTCACTTGATGGGTTGGCTTTCTAGAAGAAACTGTACTCAGATGTGTTGCATCATATGCCTTTTTCTTTATCCCATTCTTACTATTTGGTATCCAATTCATATCCCTTAAGTTAAAGTGATGACTGACTAGCCAGATTGATGTCTCAGTGAAAAGGGTGAAAAACGGTGAGAGCAAAACAGGGCACAGTCACTGGCTTATGTGCTACATTCACAATTTGTGACATGTTTCAAGGTTTTTTTCTCAGGCAGCGTCAAGAGGATCAACACAAGTGGCAACATAACTATGTCAGCTGGCGAAAATGACCATGAACAGTGAATGAAGTTTATGAATAACGGTGCATTACTTAACTGATTAACTTTTAAAAAGAACATTAACACAAGGGCCTTCATTTTGCAAACATTGCTGAATACATGGCCAGCTTACGAGGCTCTAAGCTCCAGGTGATATAAAGGATCTTGCTGCTGGCATTTGTGGTGCTGGTTGGTTTTACATATGAAATGCTGGCGTTCATTTATCTGGATTTCAAATTTAAATGGAACTGAACAGAGTAGGACCAAATCATTGAAAAGAAAGAATTCTCCATCTACTTGCATATTTCTGATTAAAAACTTCTGGACTGATTACTGACATAAGGGTGCTCGTGCTCAATTTTTCTAATATCTATGATAATACCTGCACACCAAGGAGACCTGCTATATTATCATACTGATCAGAACATGTCACCACCCAACATCAGAGCTAACATCAATTATATGTTTTCATTAAAAAGAAAACCACCACTTTGTCTGAATATCTGCAAACAACATCTCAGACTTGCAATGCAAGATGTACTGTACATGAGCTTTGTTAAGAAAAATAGGTACATTCTGCTTTGAAAATCAATTGCTCCCATCACTTGCACACAGATTTATATTACACAGCCACAGATCTTAACTACCAGTTAAACCGGGAGTAGAAATGTCTGATTATATCTTGATGGCCACTTTTCTGTTCCCTACTTTTTCTCCCACTTTTACTCAGCCTTCCCTCATGCACGGTGCACGTCAGAAAAGCCAGTGCTGCATATGTGCACTCATGCATATTTCAGAATTGGTTCCTTTCCTGCCTTCCTCCACATTCAAACTCCTTTCCTGCAATTTTATCTGACCATAAATATTAAATGGCAAGAAGGCATTCCTGTAAATCGACTACATTTGTGTACAAGATAGATAAGTGGGCATTACTTCCCCTGGTTGTAGTAAATTTTGCTGGACAGCTGCAGTGACTAAAATGGTGCCTGTTCCCTTATGCATGGAAGAGAATCTGAAACTTGAGGTATTTTAAAAGGGACTGTGGTGAGTGTGCGAGGTGAGAAGTGCAGAGTTGGGGGACTCTATGGGGTGATGGCGCACTGTCACTCTTTCTGATTTAATTCATGGCAAAAGTCACATAAATCTTTAACTACGGCTCCGCTTGGAAACAGAACTTTCCCATTTGCTATGGAGGTAAACTGTGTTTCTGACTACTGTTACACAATTTCCACAACATCATTAATATGTTACAAGAGTAAGTAAATAAGTATGTTAACTCAAAACTCAAGTTCCAGTGTGCTGATCATCTGCTGTTATGTGAAAACATCAAAATCTCCACACAGTCTTAGTTAACTAATGACATCCTGGCGCACCACAAATCGGGTCTCCTGTCTGGCTCCTGAAAGTGCTGCCAGGCAAAGTGGTGATCACGCTGGCTGGCAGTAGAGGAAGTAGAGCTAATGTCTGGTTTTAACGTAGTTTATCCAACTTCGCTTTTATTCAGGAGCTTAGAGCATTAGATCAGCGAATGGAAACGAGTTGCTCAGTCCTCTTTTTTGATCACATTTCTCTATTTTCATTATAGTTAGTTTTGTACTTTTGAGACAATGACGCCACAAAACAAGCGCAGCAATTTGACTGAAATTTAAGTTTGACTAATCAGCGTTTCAGGGGGCAAGTGTTTGAGTGCCCAGGTCAAAAAGTAGTGCTCTTAAAGGCACTGAAAATATACTTGAAATTCACATAGTATGCTTATAGTACATTCATACTTCTAACATGCTTACTACAAGTATATTAAAGATATATTCTCCTCAAAAGTATACTTTGAATAAATTGGTAATAAATATATACTTAACTAAACTTTTAGTAAATATGCTTAAATAAAAGTATATTTTTTACAACATTTTAGTCTATTTATTAAAAATATATTTATTTAACTC